AAATAACATCGACTAAACTAATAGAAAGGAAAAGAGGTGGAAAGATTGTGCAGGAGAAGTGGAATTGAATATAACTGTTTAATTATAAGAAAAAAGGGTTATGTGAAAATTAAGAGGGAAATTTAGGAAAGAGAAAGGGAGGAAAAAAATAAAATCTAAATGTTTTGTGGAAAATGTAAATAAAGAATTAAAATTTAAAAAGTTTATTGAATTTGAATAAAAATTTTGTTTTTTATAGTAGAAATTATGAAAATACTCTTTATTTATACGAAATTACTATTTAAAATAAAAAATAACTATTAGAAATGCTCTTAGAAGTAAAATAATATTGTCAATTTGTAATGTACCAAGATTAGATAAAGGTTATTTAAATGAGTAGAAATGTATTTGTTCTTTAAACAAATATAATACTGTCGATTATTAACATAATTATAATTTCATTAGTGAAAAATGAAAAAACAAAAACTTATTTTCCCATCTTAATCTCTAAAAAAATCATTTTTATAGAAAAATACTAATAGAATTTAAAAAAATTGTTTATTTCATTAGTTTTATTTATTCTTTGACTAATCAGTAATACTACACTCACAAATATTTCTTACAAACTCTCTCAATAACGCTGACATGACAGTTCGTAATTGGTCAGCTCCCTATAGGTCATGCTTGCCCAATAAAGATTCTGTCTGACCAAATGCGATCTACCACGTCATTGTTAGTGGAAAGTTTATGAGAAATGTTTGTCAACCTATCTTTGTTCTTGAGTAATATTTAATAACCACAATGGTCCAACCATTTTTTCAAAGTATAAATACTCTTAAAAAATACCCCAAAAAAATTATGAACATTTTTAGTTAAGTATTATTAAGTTAATTAAAAGTGCATATATAAATTTTCAATAAAATTAATTCACAATCCATCTCATAAACTTTTTTATAAATCTAATACGGTAGCTTGCATTAATTTTTGATAAATTTTTTTATCCATGAATTTATCAAAAATCAATATGAACTAGTCTATCAAATTTATAAAGAAAATTAGCATAACGGCAACCATATATATTATATAGAAAGCTGTAGTTGATTAAGTTGCAGGAGGAGGTGATGGAGCCATGGATTTGTCATATCAAAGCTGTATTTGTTGGTATTGCTAATCACTTAGTTGGAGCCCACTGTACGGATTGATGTGTCCCAAAGGATCATAGTACATTGATCTTTCTTCTCTTATTTTTCATATTTCCAACTTTTTCTCTAATTCCCAATCAACTTTTCTTCTTATTATTACGTTTACAAATCTGAAAGCTATCAAAATTCCCCTATCTAACTCTATGCGGTATGGAGAATATATAAAACGATAATTTGGTGAATAATACCATATATCATAACATATTTTGGGATATATAATATTTATGCAATTATATTTAAATCCAATCACAAGAAATAACCTAGCAGAATTCCTCCTTTGATATTATTATAAAACTTTGTAATAGTATATCATTAACAATTTTCTCAATTTACATAAACCCAGTATCAGTAATGTAATTTTATATATAAATTACCCATTTAAGTAAAATTTGCTAAATCAAAACCAACTAAACTAGTAATGGTAATTAACAATTATTTAAAGAAAATCTTAACTTCACTTCTTTATACAATGCAGAAATTGTAGAAGGGGCAGTTTGGGAATTTCAAGTAGAAGATGAGGATAGTCACAAGTTCACGTGGCATCCCCATGGGAAGTGGCTTGCCTCAGAAAGAAGGCATAAGGCACGTGTCGATCTTTACTTGCACCGATCTAACTCTCACCTTATCACCTTCACCCTATTCTTCTTTTTATATTCTTATATATAGGGCTCTAATCTTTGAACGCGTATTCTTTCATTCATTTTTATTTAAGAAATTTCTGAAATAACAAAACAAAAATCCTTACCATTTTAATGACTAATTGGTTTAAATTTGGTACTACAATCTTTTCTTTAAAATATGTCAAAGTCATGTAACCGAGAACTATTATTAGTCCTAAAATATAATATTTTCAATGAAACAATAAAAGGAATTCATATTGGACTAACTCCATTTCAATTTCTTTAAATCCTGCTCCTCCAAGCAGACTTCTTGTAACTGTCGAATTTACAGGTCAATTTGTTTGTTTTCATTTTTCATGTAGAAATTGTATGTGGAAATAAACTATATATAGAGATGGGGTCCGATGTACCTTTTCCAGAAGTGGATCAATCAAACTCGGGTGAAAGTGACCAAGTTCCCACGTACATTGTTAAAAATAAGTGATGGAGCCACCAAAATCATTGCAGCTTCTTGTTATCCGCACCAACACATACAAGCGCGCATGGTCATTGATGGCCCGGTCCTCCACCTTCAAACGTCCCCGACAGATGGCTCTTACAATTGAATTCACTTTCACCCTTTTGATTTAAGCAAAGATGGCTCTAAGTTAAGAGTGCAGGGTTGTAAAATCAACCATTCAAGAGCAATGAGGCTAACTATTATCCCATGAGAGAACCAAGAACTCACATCAACTCTTAAGGTGGTACATGTACTTATAAAGTGCGATGTACAATAGTGTCATTCCGCAATAAAACTGGCGATGAAGATAATGTGCATGCTACAATAAAATAGGCGATGAAGATAATAGTGTTATCCAATGTTTTAATAGCCAACCTGAGTGAACGCCCAAAGTTAAGTCTCCAAAAGTTTAAAATCTAACAAAAACACTCCCCACCAAAACTCATCTCACATTCCCCCAATTGTCTCACTAATTGTTGACAATAGCCGATTTAGTTTTCAATTTCCGAACGATTCACTCACCAGAAATCATTTCCATCGCCACTATTGCACTCCCCGACCCTTCCTCTTCAAAACCCCCAACATTATAGCCTTCAATTGTTCGTCGAACGTCGTCCTAATCTTTTGGTTTTCAGTATAACATTGAAAACCCAACTAGGTGAAAACCCCAAGTCTTGGTTAACCGACTGGATAGGCTATGTTTTAAAACACTGGTGTTATCCTTCAATAGACAAGGATAAAGATAACCATGTTATTCTTCAATAAGAGGTGATTGAGATAATAGTATTATTCTTCAATAAGCCGATATATGTACCTCACCCATTTCTTAAACACACGTGCATCCATCCCACTGAAAATTTTTCTAATAGTAACTAGACAGTAGAGAGTATTGGTATGGTTTCTTAAACCTTGAACTGATTTTTTTTGCAGATTTGATTATTTTATATAAACTGTGATTTTTGTACCCAGATCTTGGTTCTAAGGAATGATCCATAGAGTTTATGTTTTTGTTTTCTGCTACGTAACTGGGTCGTTTCCTAACATGTCTTAGCCTACACTTGCTCCCTGTCAGTTTCCTTACTTGCTGCCTACCTCTTCTTTATGCCCATGGCTTTTTTCTGGAGTGTTTTGGGAGGTCATTTGTAGGAATTTGCTGGTGTTTGCAGGCCTATCAGGAGGTTGTTTTCTTTCCTTATGGTCTGGCAGATGAGGCTACGTGGACACTAGATGCTTAACTTATGTACCTGCTATTTCCTTTTCAGGAGTTATTTTTGCATTTGACATTGTAGGTTTTGGGGAGTTTTTATCCAGGATTATGGGACATTTTCCTGGCTGCTTAGGGGGTTTGTGTTCTGACTTGGTTTGGCTGGTAGCTGGATTGTCTGTTTCGGTAATTGCAAGGTTTCTGACAATAGGAATGTGGGTATTTCTCTTCGTGGTTTGTTTGGTAGCTGTAGCTGTAGAGGTCAGTCTATAGATTTTGTTTTGTTCATTAATAAAGATAGGTTGATAAATACTTCTTATAACTTTTTTTCACGAATATTAACTTGGTAGTTTGTAATTGGTCAGTTTACATTTGATAAAATGGGATCCATTGTTGGGCAAACAGGACCTATTGCATACTGACCAATTATTAGCTGATGCGTCGTTTTTATGAGAAAAAGTTAGTAAAAATGATTTATGAGTGTAGTATTACTGATTGTTCACTTTACATTTACTTTCACCTAATTTTTTTTTTTTACTCCAGCCATCCTTTTCTTGGTGATGGACAGGTTAGTTTTTTGTACACACTTTTCAGGTGATTGATGGAACACTCAGGCTCTTTTTTTGCTTGTGCCCGTGGTAGACACTAGTGTGTTTTTTTCTTTAGTTCTTGGCCCAAGGTTCCTGTGTTTAAGGGTAATCTCTTTTTTAGGTTGTATTTTTTATTCTTAATAATATTACCCAAAAAATAGTTTAATATTTGATGATGATTCATTTTCACACCGAATAAAAGCCTAAAGTTCCATACACTGTGAAACCCCATTGGTAAACTATTTAAGAATCAGTAGTTTAGTGGAAAACAACTCCGAATTTTAAGTTGGTACAGCACAATCGACCAAATGGGCCTAGAAAATATGATGGACAGCCCATTTTTTACATGTCTTCACCCAAGTCATTGACTTACAAAAGCAAGGTTCTGCTAGAATTAATATTATATGAATAAGATTAGTCATTTTGTTCAATTTGACTTCGAAAAACAAACTTCTTGTGGACTATATGTATGTATAATATTGACGAAGCTGTTTAGAAAACTTAAAGGGCATTTAATGATACTCAAGAATGGTCGTTTTCAATGACTGAATTAATATTAGAAATGAAGGCTGAAAAAGATGGGAGAAGTTGCCTCCCATGACTTATTCAAAGGTTAATTGACTCCTTATTTCTAATTTGTATCAATCTTATCTTTTTGTTCAAAACCAATAAAAATAATCAACTACAACTTGAATGGTCTAGTTGAGACCTAAAATGGCCATTGTTTTCTTTGTCAACAAAAGCGTATCGTGTTGTACATCAAAAACATGAAAAGATACTTTACTATCAACACGGTGAAATTTCAACCCAACAAAAAGATAATCTGTGTATTACATATAAATACAAAAAGAACATTATCTTAAGACGAAAAAAAAAAAAAAGAGAGAGAGAGAGAGAGAGAGAGATTATAGTGTGAAACTTTGAAAAATGAGATAGCTAGTTACTATTTATCATCGATCTGTGGACCTAAGTACTCAATTTCATCCATCTGTGAATTCTCTGGCACTTCAATCTCTTCCAACCACCTATAACACTCACCCTCCTCCGCATTCACTGAATTTTCTCCATCTGCATATATAAGATTCACAAGTGAGGAATGATTTACAAATTTTCTTCATAACTTCAAATTGGATAAGAGAGATTAGTTTAATATCTTTAGATTGTCAAGTTTCACTTACTTGAGAAAGCAGAGAATGGAAACTCCCTGTAGTGTGAGCAGTCTCGACCATCAGCTTTCGAATAGGGAGGTCCAAGCACATCGAGCACTGCACACGTTGTAATAGCTGTGAATTCGTGGATATTGCCGCCGGTGGTTGGATACAATACAGAAGTGTCGCAAGGCGCTGTGAAATCATTGTCCGCTACCAACCTTGCCAATCTAGCTGCAAATTCATCGCAATATTGGCACATAAATGATCCCTCTCTACCTCATTCAAGTTAGTATGAGTAACGAGTGAAGTGTGTGTGTGTGTGTGCGTGTGCAAACTCTGATTGTGTAAGGACTACTTACGTTGTGAATGTGGCGGAGTGTCATGGGACCTCACAGGATCAACCAAATCATAAGATTTTATGTGCATTGTTCCCAGGAGGAGTTTGCTAAACACAGTCATTTCAGGATGGTTATGCAAAGGGATAACAGCAGTTGCAGGAAGAAAGAAAAGACATAGCTGCACAAAGAAGTAACAAAAAGAAAGCTAATTACATAAGCAGAATTTGGAAAAATACTTTGATAAAACTACAAAAAGAACATTCAAATTTCAGCTCATCCTATTTAGAACTGTAAAAGGGCCATTTCATTATGTTTAAAACCACAGACTGACTTATTAACCAATGAGAACTATCTAGTCTTACCGAAAATTTCGAACACTTGTATATGGTTGTGTATGTCACAATTGGAGACCCTTTAACTCCATCTTCCATTAGATGCCCTTTAGCTGCATCTTGAGCACTGAAGATCTTCTGCAGCCTATTGCTTAGCCCAACATCCTCTGGCTTCATATCATCTACAGGATAATATATATCAGCTAAAATACTCCACACTTTGGTTGATGTTAGAGTATCAGTTAACATTACTGAACCATATTATAATGTATCCCATTGCTTTAATGCAAAGTTAAGTGCGATTTGGACCCCACTGAATAGTAGAAAAACATAAACTAAAGCAAAGATTAAAAAAATACCCATATGTATTGTTGCTTAACACTTGGCCCAAGGAATCTATTAATAGGTGCCATCTGTCAATACCAGCAGGCATAAATCTGAATTCATACCCACAGTAATTGTTTAATTGCACCCTCTTGTCTTCCTCCAACTATTCATTACATCTATATCCAATTTAATTGTTTAAATAGCACTTGGAAAGTAAACAACAAATGAGAAACGACAAAGTACTCCCCAGATCCACAGTAACCAGATTAATAGAAACTTCAAGGGATAATTTTAATGGCCCAACGTTAAGCTTATAGCCATCAGAATTTACCAAGTCATTATCCATTTCATTGTTATATAGCTCCAAGCCATTAATTCTTATAAAATAAACGCCTACATGATTAAAAATGAAGTAGAAGAAACAAGATTTTGAAGTAACAAAATCTAACTTGAAATGGATTTTTCTGATCCTTAAAGAATGAGGCTAAAAGGGTTGATAGAGAAAGATTACTAGCTCTTATTATAATATCGAGTGGTTGAATCCATCGATATTTGGTAAAAAGGAATGATCTAAAATAATTTAGGAAAAAATAATGGAAGAGTTCAAGTAGAACATGAAAACGCGACTGAATTGGTTTTAGTTAACACATAAGTAGCTAAGATTTGGCAAATTAGCTAACAATTTAACCATCTGATCAACAACTTAGAACCACTTAACCAAGAATTTTGATTGCTTAGTAGAATTTCAAATATCAAAATCTAATTTTATAAAATTATTCTCAGATTCAAGTATTTCAAATTTCTATACCAAATGTGACAATCGTTGACTTCAAGCTTTACACAGGAAAAGGCTCAAAATACTATAAATATATCAAAGTATGCATGGCAATTTCAAAACACATGCAAATGCAATAACAGAACACAAAAAATCACAAAACCAACAACTCAAAACGAAATGAAATCAAACAAAAGACTTGAAAACAAAAACAAAAAATTTACCAAGAATTTTGCACAACTTGTTGACATCACAAGGAGCAGGCACAGAGCCGGGGCCTTTGAACACATCTCTGCACGCAACAAACAATTCTTGCAGCGCTCGAGGAACCTTCGGCTCTACACATCTTTGAATTTTGTTTCTACATCTCTTCTTTTTGATAGCTTTAGGAGCATATCCAACCTTCTTCACATGCTCAACTCTTTCTCTTCTTTGCTCAACCACGCCGCCCTCCATCGTCATCACAACTCTATATAGTAAACCAAAACCAACACACCAATTCAACCAATGTCTCCTTCAAGTATGTACAGTTAGTTGAGATTAAAAACAAGCAAAACACAGAAACGCCACAAGAAAAATCGAAAGTTGGCGTGGAGACGATGAGAAAGACAAGATTTTGAGAGAGTTGTTGATGGAAGAAACGGAAGGGGCAGATGGATATTGATATATATAAAGAAATGGACAAAGGGCAAAACCAGGGGCCATGGAGAAGAGAAAGTGTTTATTGTTTTGAGAAAACAACCTAAAACAATGGAAAGCAAAAGCAGTTTTCATTTGTTTTGCAATTCCCGCCCCCTAGTTTGTGTGTTGAAACTGCCTAATCGCGACCCTGGTATTCCAAACAAGGATGTGAAATTACTGATTTGCCTCTCGAAAACTGTTGGCAACTTGTCTTGTTTTGCTTCACTTAATTATAAAAGTAAATAAAAAAGGAAAATGTAAAAACACGTGATTGATTAATTTAGTAATGTTGAGAATTACACAATTTCTTCCTTAATTATAATTAAGGTCTAAATAATATTGTATTTTTCTTGTAAATAAAGGTAAATGATAGAGACAATCAATTATTATCTTATTTTAACCAAATTGGGGGAAGATTATGACAACAGAGTTGAAGAATTAATAAATAATAAAATGAACATTAGGGACCACTTTAGAAATTAAAAAATGAATTTTAAATTACTTTTGCACATCCTTTGCAAGATAAAATGTTAAAGATATATATTTCTAATTTAATGTATCGCATAAAATCGGATTTCAAAGTTAACGATAATTCTATAATATATCCTCTGCATAAAAAAATTCATAAGATTTTTCTATAATTTAGTTTAAAGAAATTAACTTAATATACACAAAGACCCTATCATATTACTACAATCATACATTTGGTGTCGGTCCCTTTTTCTTTTTTTAACTTTCATTTGAAAAATTGATTCCAACTATTATTATTATTATTACTACTACTACGATGAATTAATTTCATACTAAAAAATGTCGCTAAGTTTCAAATGTTTATTTTTATAATTTTTTTTAAAAAGAGAAATTTTAAGAAAATATATTTTATATAATGTTAAAAACAGTTTGGGAATATAAAATATTTATATAATAAATAAAAAGTCATATTTTTAATATTATACTATATAAATGATATAATATAAGTACAAATATTATTTTAAAATCTAAAATCAGATGCCTCATATGTTTAGTTACTATTCAATAACCATTTGAAAAATAGCAAATATATATATGAGGCTATGTAATTGGAAAATGTTATATGATGAAGTTTTAAAATGTAAGTTAATAAAAAAATATCATTTGATAATATTGTTCATAATAATGTGAAAAATATCATTCACCATAATAACAATAGAAGATCGACTTTGTGATACTTCAACAATTTATATTGGCATTAAAAGTTCTTAAGAATTGTCCTTGTAATAATATATCGTATTATAACTACGAAAATTGATGAAATAACCATATCTGAGGGTCTTAATAAAAAAATGACAAACTCTAAAGTGTCTCTCTCATATTAATTAGGAAATTTACAATAATCCATATAGGCAAACAGTCTTGTAATTTATATTTTAAAAACTTACATTTTTAGGTTAGATATAGATCTTAAAAAAAAATAATAATAATAAAAAATAAAAAAATTAGTTGATAAAATTTAGGAGAGACTCGTAAAATTTCAGAAGAGACATTTTTAAATTACAACATACCTCTCAAAAAATTTTAAATAGCCCTTATAAACTTATAATAATGACCTCATAAATGCTAACTATTATTTGGCCAAAATATTATGAAAATACCTACAACAACAAATTTATGAAAATTACAAGAATCTCAAAAAGTTTTTGTAAAAAATACGAGAATCTTAACATATAACAAGGAATCTCGTCATTTTTTAAAAAAATTAAGAGAATTTTTTTTTTTTTTTTTTTGGTTCATAAATATCTATATGTTAGTAATAAAAAACAGAAATTTCACGTCCAAAATGCGTAGTAACATGGAAAACATTATTTTCATCCCATATTTTGACCCAAAAAAAAAAAAAATCTAACACAGTTGCATCAAATCAAATGATTTTTTTTTTTATTATAAATCATAAATATAATAATTTTTACATGTAAAAATGATATAAAATCACTGATATCATATGCCTCAAAAACCGTCAACGTTAGTTTGGTGAAAGATTGGAGAATGAAAAAATAGACATACGGAAAAGGACAGGGGTTATTTTAGTATTTAATTAAAGTTTGTGTTCAATTGGTGATTTCATCCTATTTTCTTATAACTATATAGCACGATTAGACGAATATAGGGCAATTCCATATTAATGATAATGATATTCATGTTAAATTCATTATAACTTTATATTATCAAGATATTATTGTAGTAAGATTATTTAAATGGGAATTTCCCAAACATGTTAACAGAAAAAAAAAAAAAAAAAAAGGTTTTGTTAACATGCACTTTTAAGGATTACATTTAAATTTTATTTTTTATACAAAATTAAAAATATATGTTTTTTTTTTTTTTTTTTTGTATTATATCATTAAACTTTATATTTCTCGGCTTTTACTTTTTTATTAGAAATCTGAATAATGTTTATATATTTATCTAAAGACTCTTTTAAGTTTGAAGGTAAAAACTTGGGTTTAATTTACTCTTTTCCTATCAGATCGTGTAGTATTACTTATTGTTTATTCAAAAATATTAAATACCTCTATCAGCTATTAGTGGGTTTTTAATAGTTTTTTTTTTTTAATATATTTTAAAGGGTTTTTAATTTTTCTTAAAAGAATTGATAAGTACATTTTAATGAAGGAATTTAACGAGATAAGAAATACATAGACTTTAGAGCATCTCTAAATAACTTTTATATGACCTAAATTCTTTATCTAAAGAGTTTATCCATAAAACAAGATCCAACAAATTTCTTATTCTGTAAATATAAATTAAAGAGTGAGTTTGATTCTCTTTATCTAAAGAATCAAATTTTATTCTCTATTCTATTTTAATTAATAATTATATTTTCTATACATTTTGTTTTTAATCTCTCTCTATTAATTTTCTTTCTTAAAAAAAACGTTTTTCCTCCCTACAATAGTCTTTTTAGTTGTCTATATATTCATGCTCTATTTTCTTTTCTCTAAACATGAATTTTCAAACTGGTAGTAATGTAAATTTGTTATTGGTTTCGTTGAAAATTCTCAATTTTCAACCCAATTTTCAAACTCTGATGATATATCTATTTTCACCGATCATCAAGAATAACATCGACTAAACTAATAGAAAGGAAAAGAGGTGGAAAGATTGGCAGGAGAAGATGGAATTGAATTATAACTGTTTAACTTAAAGAAAAAAGGGATAGTGATGAAATATAAAGAGGGAAATTTAGGAAAGAGAAAAGGGAGGAAAAAAATAAAAATCATAAATGTTTTGTGGGAAAATGTAAAATAAAGAATTAAAATTTAAAAGTTTATTGAATTTGAATAAAAATTTTTTTTTTTATAGTTAGAAATTAATGAAAATACTCTTTATTTATACGAAAGATACTATTTAAAATAAAAATCACTATTAGAAATGCTCTAGAAGTAAAATAATATTGTCAATTTGTAATGTACCAAGAAGTAGATAAAGGTTATTTAAATGAGTAGAAATGTATTTGTTCATTTTAACAAATATAATACTGTCGAATTAATAACATAATTATAATTTTCATTAAGTGAAAAATGAAAAAACAAAAACTTATTTTCCCATCTTAATCTCTAAAAAAAAAAATCATTTTAAATAGAAAAATACTAAATAAATTTTAAAAAATTGTTTATTCATTAGTTTTATTTATTCTTTGACTAATCAGTAATACTACACTCACAAATATTTCTTACAAACTTCTCTCAATAACGCTGACATGACAGTTCGTAATTGGTCAGCTCACTATAGGTCATGCTTGCCCAATAATAGATTCTGTCTGACCAAATGCGATCTACCACGTCAGTGTTAGTGGGAAAGTTTATGAGAAATGTTGTCAACCTATCTTTGTTCTTGAGTATATTTAATAACCACAATGGTCCACCATTTTTCAAAGTATAAATACTCTTAAAAAATACCCCAAAAAAAATTATTGAAGCATTTTTTAGTATTATTATTAAGTTATAAAAGTGCATATAAAATTTTCAATAAAATTAATTCACAATCCAATCTCATAAACTTTTTATAAATCTAATACGGTAGCTTGCAATTAATTTTTGATAAATTTTTTTATCCATGAATTTATCAAAATCAATTATGAACTAGTCTATCAAATTTATAAAGAAAATTAGCGATAACGGCACCATATATATTTATATAGAAAGCTGTAGTTGATTAAGTTGCAGGAGGAGGTGATGAGCCATGGATTTGTCATATCAAAGCTGTATGTGTGGTATTGCTAATCACTTAGTTGGAGCCCACTGTACGGATTGATGTGTCCCAAAAGGATCATAGTACATTGAATTCTTCTTTCTTCTTTATTTTCATATTTCCAACTTTTTCTCTAATTCCCAATCAACTTTCTTTCTTTTATTAGTTCGTACAAATCTGAAAGCTATTCAAAATCCCCTATCTAATCTATGCGGTATTGAGATATAATAAAACGATAATTTGGTGAATAATACCATATATCATAACATATTTGGGATATATATATTTATGCAATTATTATTTAAATCCAATCACAAGAAATAACCTAGCAGAATTCCTCCTTTGATATTATTATAAAAGCTTTGTAATAGAATATATCATTAACAATTTTCTTCAATTTACATAAACCCAGTATCAGTAATGTAATTTTTATTATTAATTACCCATTTAAGTAAATTTGCTAAATCAAAACCAACTAAACTAGTAATGGTAATAACAATTATTTAAAGAAAATCTTAACTTCACTTCTTTAAGTACAATGCAAGAAATTTGTAGAAGGGGCAGTTTGGGAATTTCAAGTAGAAGATGGATAGTCACAAGTTCACGTGGCATCCACATGGGGAGAGTGGCTTGCCTCAGAAGAGAGGCATAAGGCACGTGTCGATCTTTACTTGCACCGATCTAACTCTCACCTTATCACCTTCACCCATTCTTCTTTTTATATTCTTATATATAGGGCTCTAATCTTTGAACGCGTATTCTTTTTCATTTCATTTTATTTTAAGAAATTTCTTGAAATAACAAAACAAAAATCCTTACCATTTTATGACTAATGGTTAAATTTGGTACTACAATCTTTTCTTTAAAATATGTCAAAGTC